TTCGTGCCAAAAATGGCGCAAAATCGCAACAAAAAAGTGCCTAACGTGTCTTCTGAAATCCTAGAGAATCCTAGGGAATCCCAGACTATATGTCCCAGAAAAGCTTAGAGTACTGTATAGTACTGGCTGCCTGCTGGCTGCTACAAAAACGTGGGTCCCGGACAGGGAAACACCATAGTAGTGAAGGACGGAGGCAGCGGCAGCTGCCGCTGCTGGTGCTGTCGTCCGCTGATGCTGCTGCTGCTGCTGCTCCTCTTGCTAAACACCATAGTAGTGAAGGACGGAGGCAGCTGCAGCTGCAGCTGCCGCTGCTGGTGCTGTCGTCCGCTGATGCTGCTGCTGCTGCTGCTGCTCTTGCTGTTCCTGCGCTGCTGCTGCTCCTGCCGTGCCATCAACCAGCCTCCAAGGCGAGAAACCAACAGCCAGACATCTTGTTCGAAACTCACTCGAAACAGCAAAACACCACCTAATTTCGTGCCAAAAATGGTGCAAAATCGCAGCAAAAAAAGTGCCTAACGTGTCTTCTGAAATCCTAGAGAATCCTAGCGAATCCTAGAGAATCCTAGACTATACATCCTAGAAAATCTTAGACTATATATAGTACTGGCTGCCTGCTGGCTGCTGCAAAAACGTGAGTCCCCGACAGGGAAGCACCATAGCAGTGAAGGACGGAGGCTGCTGCTGCTGCTGCTCTTGCTGTTCCTGCGCTGCTGCTGCTCCTGGCTGCTGCTGCTGCTCTTGTTGTTCCTGCGCTGCTGCTGCTCCTGCCGTGCCATCAACCAGCTCCAAGGCGAGAAACCAACAGCCAGACATCTTGTTCGAAACTCACTCGAAACAGCAAAACACCACCTAATTTCGTGCCAAAAATGGCGCAAAATCGCAAAAAAAAGTGCCTAACGTGTCTTCTGAAATCCTAGGAGAACCCAGGGAATCACACTATATGTCCCAGAAAAAGATATTACAGTACTTATAGTACTGGCTGCCTGGATGGGCTGCTACAAAAAAAGGGGGTCACAGGAACAGGGAAACACCATAGTAGTGAAGGACGGAGGCAGCTGCAGCTGCAGCTGCCGCTGCTGGTGCTGTCGTCCGCTGATGCTGCTGCTGCTGCTGCTGCTCTTGCTAAACACCCAAGTAGTGAAGGACGGAGGCAGCTGCAGCTGCAGCTGCCGCTGCTGGTGCTGTCGTCCGCTGATGCTGCTGCTGCTGCTGCTGCTCTTGCTGTTCCTGCGCTGCTGCTGCTCCTGCCGTGCCATCAACCAGCCTCCAAGGCGAGAAACCAACAGCCAGACATCTTTTTCGAAATTCACTCGAAACAGCAAAAAAATCCAGACTATACCATCCTAGAAATATTAAATTCCTAGAAAATTCTTAGACATATAGTACTGGCTGCCTGCTGGCTGCTACAAAAACGTGGGTCCCGGACAGGGAAACACCATAGTAGTGAAGGACGGAGGCAGCTGCAGCTGCAGCTGCCGCTGCTGGTGCTGTCGTCCGCTGATGCTGCTGCTGCTGCTGCTGCTCTTGCTGTTCCTGCGCTGCTGCTGCTCCTGGGCTGCTGCTGCTGCTCTTGCTGTTCCTGCGCTGCTGCTGCTCCTGCCGTGCCATCAACCAGCCTCCAAGGCGAGAAACCAACAGCCAGACATCTTTTTCGAAACTCACTCGAAACAGCAAAACACCACCCAATTTCGTGCCAAAAATGGCGCAAAATCGCAATAAAAAAGTGCCTAACGTGTCCTCTGAAATCCTAGAGAATCCTAGGGAATCCCAGACTATATGTCCCAGAAAAGCTTAGAGTACTGTATAGTACTGGCTGCCTGCTGGCTGCTACAAAAACGTGGGTCCCGGACAGGGAAACACCATAGTAGTGAAGGACGGAGGCAGCTGCAGCTGCAGCTGCCGCTGCTGGTGCTGTCGTCCGCTGATGCTGCTGCTGCTGCTGCTGCTCTTGCTGAAGCACCAAAGTAGGTGAAGGACGGAGGCTGGTGCTGTCGTCCGCTGATTGCTTGCTGCTGCTGCTGCTGCTGCTGGGCGGGGGGGGGGGGGGGGGGGTGGGGTGGGGGGGGGTGGGGGGTGGGTGGGGGTGGGGGGGTGGGGGGGTGGTGGTTTGGGGCTGCACTGCTCTTGTTGTTCCTGCGCTGCTGCTGCTCCTGCCGTGCCATCAACCAGCCTCCAAGGCGAGAAACCAACAGCCAGACATCTTGTTCGAAACTCACTCGAAACAGCAAAACACCACCTAATTTCGTGCCAAAAATGGCGCAAAATCGCAACAAAAAAGTGCCTAACGTGTCTTCTGAAATCCTAGAGAATCCCAGGGAATCCCAGACTATATGTCCCAGAAAAGCTTAGAGTACTGTATAGTACTGGCTGCCTGCTGGCTGCTACAAAAACGTGGGTCCCGGACAGGGAAACACCATAGTAGTGAAGGACGGAGGCAGCGGCAGCTGCCGCTGCTGGTGCTGTCGTCCGCTGATGCTGCTGCTGCTGCTGGACGTTGCAAGCATCTATGGCATCGGGAAATGTACCATTTGTCGGTCGTTTGCAAGCGGCAACGGCCCCAACGGCCTAACGTTGCTTTGTGAACCTGAAATCACACGAAAAGTAGCCGTCTTCTAGCTTTCCAAGCTCAGAAACGGCGCCTCCGCCACGCCCAAACAGCAGGGCCCTGAAGGACGGACCGGGCCTGCCGACAACGGCCCCAACTGCCTAACGTTGCTTTCTGAAATTACACGAAAAGTAGCCATCTCCTAGCTTTCCAAGCTCAGAAACGGCGCCTCCGCCACGCCCAAACAGCAGGGCCCTGAAGGACGGAAAAGCATCGAAATTGCGACCAAAAACTGCCTAATGTAACTTCTGAAACCCATAGAAAAGGATGATTTTAGCTACTTTTTCCTCCTGCTGCTGCTGCTGCTCCTGCTCTTGCTACTCCTTCTGTTCAAAAGACAGCTCCCGGATGGGAAAGCACCATGGCAGTGAAGGACGGAAAAGCATCAAAATTGCGACCAAAAACTCCCTAATGTAACTTCTGAAACCCATAGAAAAGGATTATTTTAGCTACTTTTTCCTCCTAAACACCATGGCAGTGAAGAACTGAAAAGTATCAAAATTGCGCCCAAAAATTCCCTAATGTAAATTCTGAAACCCATAGAAAAGGATGATTTTAGCTACTTTTTCCTCCTGCTGCTGCTGCTGCTCCTGCTCTTGCTACTCCTTCTGTTCAAAAGGCAGCTCCCAGATGGGAAAACACCATGGCAGTGAAGGACGGAAAAGCATCAACATTGCGCCCAAAAACTTCCTTAAATAATTTCTGAAAGGGAAATCCTAGAAAAACACAATTTTTCGAGAGATTCTATCGCCTGAAGGTGTTCGAGATCTCGCACAAAGTTACCATCGAACTTGAACCTCGAGGATGCGGCCTCGAACGAACAAATCAGGGCGGGAAGGGCAACCCAAGGAGCCCCACGTACCTCGAGGAGACTCCGGGAAGGACCACCCACCGGTAAAACAAAAACCCCGGAGTCAATGAATCGACGTACGTGACCGGTGGGAGGGGGACCCAACAGGGTCCCCCGGCAAAGGGTCATTGTCATTGTTGTTGTTGTTGTTCTTCTTCTTCTTCTTGTTCTTGTTCTTGTTCTTGTTGTTGTTGTTGTTGTTCTTGTTGTTGTTCTTGTTGTTGTTCTTGTTGTTGTTCTTGTTGTTGTTCTTGTTGTTGTTGTTGTTGTTCTTGCTGCCTGCTGCTGCCTGCTGCTGCCTGGGAGTAAAAGTAGCAGTGCAGCACCTCTTCTTCCCTTACGCGCTCCCCCTTGCATCGGCCGGGGTCAGCGAATTATTATTATTCTTTCCTGGCAGCTGTGTCATAAACTCTTTTTCCCTTACGCACTCCCCCTTGCGTCTGCCGGGGTCGGCGGATATTGCCTTGATTCTTGCCATACTTTTTGGTTCTTGATTCAGCTCCTTTTTTCATAGGTGCCTTGTCAAGTTCTCCCAGTTCTGTTGGTTCTAGAAACCTGCCCAGTCTTTTATATATTTGCGTCCGGAAATCAAACCTGTAATCTGGCAAAAGAACCATTCCCCCACTTTAGTCATCCATTCATAGATGATTTTTCATGTTTTTTCTAAAAAGTGAACATTTTTCCAGCCATGGCTCTCAAGGCAAATGCACCTCTGCGACTTTGGCGCAAACATCAAGGTGGAGCGGCGAGTGATGGCAACGCTGCAAGAGATTCTCTATCAACATCAGCTTCCTTGTTGATCACCGTTAGGACCTATGGTAGTAGCAATGGGTAATGATTTATATATACATGTATAATATATATATATATACATACGTATGTATATATATATATATATGATATATATGTATGTATATATATATGATATATATATATGTATGTATATATATATGTATGTATATAATTATATATATATATATGTATATATATACATATATCATATACACATACATATACATATATATATATATATACATATATAGTAGTTGTAGTTATAGTAGTATAGCAATATAGTAAAACCGCACGATAGTGATACACGAATATAGTAAAACAGTGAGATAGTAGTAGCATAGTCACACAGCAAACAAAGTATAACAGTCACATGGTAGGGCAGTAATATAGTCTAGTAATACGGTGACATACAGTAATATAATGAAATAGAATCATACAGTAATATAGGAGTCGTAAGAGGAACGCACATAAACACAACGCTCTTTGTCAGTTTCCACGTTATCACCATCGCAGTTTCGTTTTCACAATGGGAACATGGTGCTGCACGGCTCCGCAACGCTTTGGCTCAGGGGTTTCATGATATGCCCAGCATTGATCCATGGAACGGTCAAAGTGAATCTATTGAAACTTGATGGAAGGATATACGTGCACAGTTGCAGTGATATTGACACCCAGTCTTGCCTCGAAACACAAAGGCTATTTCAAACTTTCTACTATATGGACCTACATGGGGTTTCTGGGTGTCCAGAAGATTCCTAAAGCCTCACCTGATGGCTTGATTACCGAAGCGCAATGGCTGATAGGGGTTGCAAGGCCATGCGCATGTGGGACTTTTCGGACCTTCCCGAAAATTCCGCCGGAGATCTCTTTCGGTTGCTTCCCTTCGAGGGCTATGAAGGGGTGCTGTCGTTTCTTCCAGTGGACCGGCTAGCCATAGCTACCCGGGTCTCAAAGGGATGGCAGTACGCAGTGGGCTGCAGAGCTGAGAATGAATATGACTATTCCATCACCTGCAGCACCAAAGACCAGTTTAAGAATTTCCTGCGATCGTTTCCGAGATTGGGTGTCTCCGCAATCCGCTGCGATATCTCGAAAATGACCGACATCAATTCAACCGAGTTTATTGCCTTTACCGGTTTTACAAAGAAGGATTTGGGGATCTCACATGTGACATGGAGGTGCGAGCACTTCTATCAATATCACTCCATCTTTCTTCGCGACCTCTTCCCTTTCCTCAAGTCTTTAAAAATTGAATACGTGCATCATCCTATAGACACCGTCAAGGTGTTGCTACCTGAGCTGAGGCGTTTGTCACTTGGACCTGGTATACGAGTCGCATCCTATGAGGTTTTCTTGGGTATTGTTTTTGGTTTTCCCAGCAATTATGTACAATTTGGATGAATGGGTCTAAATGAGGTATTCTGGTTTATTATCTTTTTGGTCAACGAGGTCAGTGGTGAACTCAGGCCGCCGAAGTGGAAAGTTAGTGGGTGGCGTTTGCTGGACTGGCCAGGGCTTGCCGCGGCACTTGAAGTCGTTGCATTTGGAGGGTGTCAAGTTTCTGATGCACGGAGCCGTGGCTGGAGGCGACATCTTCTGGACCTTTCTCCAGCAGGACAGGTTTTCCATGGGGTCATTAGGGGATACTAGGGGCATAGGTGGATTTGAACATATTTGAACGTTATTGGCCCAGCTAAGAAGGGTGCACTCCGGTTTCAACACCTTCAAAAAGTCAGAACCCACAGGCCATGCAAAGCTCTCAGCTCCAGGTTGAATTCTCGGATTTTCTCCTTGACGTTGACCAGCCCTGGTGGGAGAAATGGGGTACGAGCTTTGAGCGAGGCATCCTGGACTGGGTCAGATCTCGGCCCAACCTCCTGCGATTTCGCATGAAACGTCTGAAGAGAGA